TTTAGCGAGAGCACCGGCTTCATATTTTTTGAATTTGCTCATTACAAGCTGCACATGAAAAGAGCAAATCCGGTCAATTTGGAACCGTTTTGAATGATAATAAAAGAAAATAATTTTGTTATCTTTCGCATACACAATTACCTTTTCAGCTGCTCCTTCGCCACCACCGGTATAAAAATCTGTTTTTCTCGCAAGAAAACTGAAGAAAGTATCAAGTAACTAAAAAAGAAAAGCGAAATCTTCGTATCTTTTGGACAGACTTATGAAAATATAAATATTTCATCGCGCGAGATAACCTCAAACAAGAAAATTACTTACGTCCTGCACACCACCTTCATGTTGCTGTGCCAATGCCAGCAACATTCCATCAAATTGGTCCTCCATTTTCGTCATTGTTCGTTTAAATTTACGCGTATCACAATTTATTTTGCAAAAAAAAGATTGCAATAATTGTCACGTCAAATGAGTACCTCGCTATCGCTGCAGGTAGCAACGATTACGCAGCAACGCAACTTTGTTAGTAGACTCCAACCACGTTTCCATGTGGAAACATCTCGAATTATTGACCGGATGGAAATATGAGACCAGCTAAATGTGGCGTTGCGAACGTTGGTTGCGGCGCTGCGAGCGTTAGCTACGGCGCTGCGAACGCCAGTTGCGGCGCTGAGGTTGGTCCTTCTTTCCGTTTCTTCTTTCTTTCGCTTTCTCTGGTGTCATGGCGTGCCGCGTGCGGACCTCGTATGAGTCGCTGCGATAGTCAGTAAGTTGGAACTCAGAAGTTAAGGTTCCGAATTATTTTGTGTATACTGCGAGATCGATACCGATCACCGTTCATGTCTTGTGATAATTGTTAACGTCATCGGATAATTACTCGGAGTATATTTTCATAGTTCTTGTATTGTAACTCCGCGACGCAATACCGATATCCGAGCCGTATTACGCACGCAATCACGTCTCTATTTTGTAATCTTTGTATTTAATAATTAGTCAAGTTTGTATTAATTAAAAAATCGCCTTATGGCATAAAAGTCAGAATCAGCGAGTAGCACTCATTCTCAACCAAACGATTTCCCGCCAATTGTCCTTCGCCTTTAGTTGGTAATCGCCGGCGCCATATTGTGCACAGCAGTCGCACCAAATAGCCACATAAACAGTACCGATAGCGTACTCTGACGGCAGAGCAACGGAACTACTTCGAATCGATTATCGACTATTAATAATAAACATTTTTTTAAATAATAATTCTCTCGAGTATTTTTCTTGAAAAAAATATATTAAAAAATATATAATTGCAAAAGCAATTCTTGAACATATATCTTGAGTAAAGAAAGATACCTGTTAAAGAACTCTTGAATACATTTTAAATAAAAGACTGTGAGAGATACTTTTAATTAAAGATAACTCTGACAATCTTCGTACATATACAATGTTGATTGCTAAATGATTTATTATGATAAGTATTTAAATATATTGGGTCATCTAAAAAGTATCCGCGGTACTTTGTCATTAGATATATAACCATCAACACACATCTAGTATCACACATCAATAAATATATACGTAATTGTTTATTCTTTTATAAGATTGTTTTAATTCGGAAAAATTTTATACTTTAATAATAGTCACTTTTATCTTATTTTGTGATATATATTCATAAATATTATCGATTCTCGCATTTACGCTAATAGATGATAATTATATAATCTAGACATAATAAAATTTGTATAAATTATAATTTCAGAATTATAAATTCAATCGCATCTTGATCGAATTATGCACACTGAAAAAAATAAACCAAATTTTAATAATCGTTTGAACAATACTAACAAAATCTCTGACAAAAATAAAAATCGGAGTATAAATCGTGAAGGGAACTTAAAGGAAAAGTAACAAAAGCATAAACGCAACTTCTACAATAGAAGGCAAAAATCGAAACAATGAAAAGAAGCGTAAACTTGTTTTACGTTTCGTTTATGTTTTTATTTCTCTCCCTTTACATTCGACTTATGCTCTGATTTTTATTTTTGCCAAGAATATTTACTAAATATAAAAAGATTTTCCTTCCTTCCTTCCACTTCCCTTCATTTCTAAAGAAGTTTGTATGGAAAGTCTCAAACATTCTGTATATTAAAAATCATTGTCATCATTATTAAACTTATATTTATTTAATTACTTAATAATCTCGTTATACTATATTTCATATTTTTAAATCGAATTCTAATTTATATAATAATTAGCATGTTTCATAATGTAGTTAAACTAATGTAATTGTAAATTAAACTATTATATTATTAATTAAACTTTTATTACTCTCTCTCTTCTATTTAAAAAAAAATTTTACTACACTAGACGTCATCTATTTCAGAAATTATTATTATTGTTTACATTCGTAAATAATTATATTCCTATTTTCTTTCCTCTTATTGCAGTCGATAACCGGTAACTCTTAATACACATATCCAGTCATTCCTGGCTTAATTTTTATTACTTTTACAAGTATATATAAATTATTAAATAATTTTTACATAATATTTTGACACCTGTAGAAAGTATTTGTGCAATTAAATATTCATAACAAATTGTTGCAATTAAATATAGTTAACGAAATGAGAAAAATGCACTGTTTCATATAAAAATGTAAAACTTTGAAATAAAAATGTTTAAAAGAAAAATATGGTTCAATATCTTAAAATTGATTTTCATTCCAAATTACAAGAAAAAAAAACAGTTTAAGTGTCGGCTGTCCAAAAAGTTTAGTTATTGAGTAATCTGAAAATGATGCTTTTTTTAATATGCATAAATGGCTATAAATTAAAGATATATTGCATTTACATTTTAAACAATACATTTTATTATTGCTATTGTGTTAAAAAGCTAATATTTATTAAGAAAATGTTCTTTATAACATTACAGACAACATTTAGAATAAGAGTACTAAAAATCGCGTTTATTAAAGGCTAAATAATAATTGTTTTAAGATTAAATTATTTTTTTTAATAATTCACGAAATATTTCCGCAATATAACTGAGAGTTGAAAATGAAGAAAAAAGAAATTTTTTTTAGTTACAAAAAACATACACTCTGTACACACGTTGGATTATTTGTGATCTAGAGATAAACTTTGTTATAACCAGTTAAAAGATACGCACGAGGCCGGTAACGTACAAAAAAAATTTATTCTTTAGATGCCAAACTTTTTTTTAGGAATAGAAAAGAGACCGGTATTTAACCAGGTGCTCTTTCAAACAAAAGAAATGAGCAAGACAGGAATGACTTAAAGATGTGTATTAAAAGTTAATTAAATCTTTATAAGTGTCGTTTAAGAAAAGATGTACTCCCAAGATATATTTCTGAATAAACGAAATATCTACTCCTAAATATTTCTAGGCATTTCACTTCCACAGCTTGTGACTTGTTACGAGATTTCGTGCCGATTATTTCGCTGAAATCAGATAAAGAGTGCGATCTAACGCACAGGTTGTTTTGACTTAAATTGTTAGCATCGTCTAAGCGTTCAAGCGTTGAAAAAACGGCGATGAGCGGCAGAGAGAGGGAGATGGGTGACGCGACTCTTGCCAACGATTCCAGGTAATTCAGGAAAACATGCAGCAAAACAACATGCGATGGAAAAACTCAAGTCGAAAAATAACGTGCGAGAACTTACCGGTAGCTGAACGCGCGCTGATCGATCTCCCGCTGTTAAATACCCTTCCGTTAATCCTTATTTCTCTTCTTAGTCCTCTGTACTCCATATTGCTGGAATATGAAGGAATATGTAGCTCGTACATTTTTTAAAAAAACGAACGAGACAATACGACGAACGTCAATCGCGAATGTTCGAGATACGCGCTGATGGCGGTTATACAAGGACCGATTGTCACTCTGCGACGATTCATCACTGAACTGAATCCGATATTCCGATACTCCGAATACACGTACGCGAAATTTAGCCGAGACGGAATCTCGGCTAAAAGCAAAACCGCGGAAACTATTGCTTTTTGATTACGCACGGGCGAGGCGCGATGACGCGATGCTAACTGATCGGTAACTACAAATTTGGGTCACGTGACCGTTTAGTCTTGCACACCCACTGGCGTGGAAAATTTCTTAACGCCGCGACATTTTGAAATGTTCAAACGGTTCAAACGTTTTTAGCAATTTAAAATCGAAGTTATTTGAAATCAGATCATAATTGATATTCAATTAACAAAATAAATTCTTGACATGGGATTTATTGAAAATATTGAAATATTTTTTTTAGATTAATTAATACATACATCCTAATATTTTTGAGAAAAGCGATTATTGTTGCCTATCTTATTCGCTCTTTTCAAGTATTAAGATGTACCGAAGTTCCTATAATAACAAGTTAAACATATATTCAGTTAACAAGTTAAATGGTTAGCTTATTATAATAACAAGTTCTATAGTAATAATAATTTTGTTCAACTATCAAATCAATTATGTACAATTTAATCATTCATGTTAATGCTGCAAAAAGTTTTATTATTATAGCAACCAGCTTCGGTATCGTACATAATTATTTTGATGATTTAACAAAATTATTTTCAGATCTGTATCTAGCTACATTTTTAAATATTTTAGCAAAACTATTCTTTCCGTGTATTTATAAGTTGAATAATATTTTTTTTGTTTACTCTAATGTTATAAATTATAGATAATATAGATGTATATAAGTAGATATGAAAACAAACGGCATTATTGCGTTACAACTCCAGTTGATAATATTATTTAAAAATTTGGCTCAATAGTTGTGTTCCAAAATTTTGTCAGTATTGAAAATATATAGTGTACATAATGTAAATTGTAAATTATAGAATTTTAGCGTTAGCAGTGAATTTAGACACAGCTTATATTGTTTTATGACATGCGATCGCGATATGTTCTCAAATGCAGATTTTTATCAGTTTTTATTCGTTTAGGTTATACATTTAAATCACTTTAAATCGTTTTCCTTTCTCTTTGTACTTACGAAGGCATGGCATTTGATAGAACGGAAAGATTCGTGGAAATAGCTACGTCAACTTCTGTTCGAGTGGGCCCGGGGACTTACGATATATCGCTGGATCCATCAAAGCCAGCTCGAGATCTGGGTAACTTATATAATGCACAACATTCGCGAATTCTTCAGTAAAACTTACATTCGCACGCGTCGTATGTACCATTACGTAACATAGACTACATTCCACAGACAACGCTTATCCATTTTTAAGCGGAGCTAGCAGGCAGACACTTGGCATACCAAAAGATGTGCACAAGTTCCCAGGTCCTGGTTCTTACAATATAGAAGCGCTACGGAAACGTATACCAGAACGTGCATTTTCCCTATTTATGCTTTATTTGCAATTCTTCCGTATCAGCATACGCGCGGATATTCGATATTGTCTAAGATTTAATAATTTACAGGGTGGCATTAGTCTTGATTATACCGATGTTAGATTTAAAAAAAAGGTGTGCGAAGGACCAAGTCCAACACAATATACCTTGCCGGAAGATTTGTTTAAAGAAACGCCTCGAAAAATAAGATCCCATCCGGGTACTTGGCGTGGTCCCGCAGGCAAAGTAAATAAAATATTTTTTTTTATTTATATATTTCTGTTTTAGTTTCCTTAGTTTCCTCCTAAATATATTCGAAAATATTACACTGAGAAAAAGTGTTTGATATTTGTAGTTACATATAATTACACTAAATTAATTGGTAAAATAATTATGATTAGAAACTTCATTTTTATAATTATTACTGCTATAGTATTAGCGACAATAATTATATTCGTAGCTTTATATATATATAATAACATATTTAACATAGCTATTTGTTAGCTATGGTTGATTCCTCCTTCGCGACCGCTCCCGACAGGCCTTGCCGTTCCTTCGAAACGTGACGTTGGCGGATACGACTACAATGAACGAGGCGTACTCGTAAAAAATCCGGTCATCGAACATAAGCCAACCGATTTTTACGATATTCCCCGAGGGGTATGAATAAGATGCCAAGTGGCTTCCGTTTGTGAAATATCTCGCGAACGATTATTTATACCGCAGGAGACAAACTTTACCACTCTGAAGTACAAAGGGAACTTTTGGAGCAGAATGAAAGGTAGAGATGACGAACGGACTTCCGTGACCCCGGGTCCCGGGGACTACGAGCACGAAACAAAGAAAAGTCCCGCCCAAATCCACGACGAGAGAATTAGGGAAGTGAAAAGAGCCACCTCTAAGCAGCCACGTTTCTTGGAAGCTTTGTACCAGCAAAAATTACGCCAAGTAATTTTAAGAACATGCTTTGTAACTTTCGCAGTCGCCGGTTCGTTCGCGAAAATTCCGAGCCGGGAAACTGCCTTTGTATCTCTGAGAATCGCCTTATGGAAATTTGCTTTTTCACAAAGAACTTTCCAGCTCCCAATCACTATGACTTACCAAAAAGCGTGTTCGATAAATATAAACGTATTCTGTGTAAATGTGACCCTTTGATAGAATCGCCGCCATTCAATCAATCTACGAAGGTACGTTTCGATATATTTGCTCCAATTATTATAACACAATTATTCTTCTTCGATTTATTCTTCTTCTCTTAAGAGATTCGAAGAGACTTTTCAATCAGATACACCCGGACCTGGAACTTATGAAATTACAGTTCCGCAAATTTGTTATGGTTCTATTCTTCATGCACCGTTTGGTTTTTTCGACGATCGTTTCAAGAGAATCGAAGAGGTGCTGCCAGGTATATGTTATGTAACTATAATAAATTTTTTATTTAATATGCACATGATACATAAAGTATTAGAACTACATAAAAAAAAAATTTACTTTGCAGGTCCTGCAGATTACCACACAAATATCGGAACTTTAGCCTTTGAATCCGCAAAGCGTTTTAAAAATAAATATAAAAAAATGTCTGACATAAAATTTTGCAAAACATTACCATCGATAAGCGACACTGATGAATATGTGGTAATGGAAGAAGATCAAGTAATGAAGAAAGTAGATGAAGAAAAGTATCCAGTACATCATGCAGTCTTCAAATCAAGAGTAGATAGATTTCCAAAACTGCGCAAAAGAGTGAGTAATATAAAAATTTTATGTGCTTAATGTAGCGTATTATTTATTTCAATTCTGATTAATTCAATTAGAGTCATAACTCGTACGGTCAATTAGTACTTTGAGCAGAAACTTGTTTTAATTTTATGTACAATCCTAACTTTATGTTACTTTATCGATATACTGCAATGAAAATGCACGTGCTATTAGCTCAGTACGCTAAGAGGTGTCAGCACCGCCATAAAAATGTGATACTCTAATAATAAATTCTGTAAATTTATTTATAAATCAATATATTTCATTTATCAATTTATTAATTTATTAATAATTTTTATTAATAATTTTTCATATAATTTTTCGTATTCATATGGATGATGTATTCTAATGGATATAAATTATTTTTAATATGACGATTTTTCATAGAAATGTTCTAAATATAAAGTAACATGCAAAATAATGTATTAATAATAACTTGCATAAATTATTGTTAAAACTTAAATAATGATAAAGTCAATTATCATACATGCGCAATAAATAAATTACTTCTTTAAATTAACATCCAAGATTCCTAATCTTGTATTTAAAAAAAATTATATTTGAACAAAGTTATTAGAATATTAACAAAACATATTATATTATTTTTATACATATACATATATGCTTTGTATTCATCACGCCGAATTAACCAATCTAGAAGGGCTGCAATAAATAAAGCAGTCGAAATTGCTCCTACAGTGTTTAAGAGCATAAAACTTAAGACAGTGAAAGATTCGAGCTAGTAGTCACAATAAGTCTGTGGTCAGACCGAAGATTCTTTCGACTTGCTCGGGAATCTGTGGGCTCGGTAGAATCGAGTAATCCGGGAAGCACAAGGTAATCAGGAGAGCCGGAGACGAAATTAATGGTAGTGGATCGAATCGATGCATCTGTACCCGGGGCGATTCGGAGCTAGGATCCAATCTGGTCGTTAATCGAGAGCGTCGGAACGAGATTCGATGCCGCAGTCCATAGATAGGCCAGGATAGAGTCGTCACTACCGAGCGACTTGCTGCTGATTCCGCTATGTTCGATGAGTTCGTGTAATTTAGATTAGCTGACGTTTCACTTAAACAATCAAAACAGTTCAAAATTGTCAGTGAAATTTATAGGTGACACTGGTGTATGATGCCAACTGTTAAATTAACATTATTTACTAACAGTCAGTTTCTTGCTAAACGATCAAACTTCATGATGGTTGACAGGCAATATCCCTCTTTTCGTTGGATGTTTTCGAGGAAACTGTATTTGCATAATGTAGGGAAGAATAGTGACTGTGTACGCCGGAAATGACATTTTGCTGCGCTCTGCAGGTCATTTCCACATAGAAGCGCGTGGCCGATGTTGCCCAGAGAAATCACTTCCGGCTCGTTGAGCCGGAAATTCGAGCCAATCCCTGCAATGGTGTCTCTATCTCTGTAGTGCGAATTGCGAATAGCCGGAAACATCGGCGCTTAGGTTTGTGTCCGAATCAGCGGCCATTCTATTAAATTAATTAAATGATTAAATTATAAAGAAGAGGAAAACATGTCCTCTATTCTCTTCTAATAATTTAATCCCCCCTCCCCTCCAAGTAAAAATACTCCCAGGCGGGAATATTGCTTCAGAATATAAAAATACAAATACTTACGATAAATTTTATCTCGTAATTATTGTAATATTTAAAATAAGATCAAGTGATGTATCAAGATTCATTTCAATTAAAAATCATTTATCTTTCAATTTTGATAGGATGAGGTACCGGATTCAGGTGCTTACGAAGTTTTTTCAGCCTTCAAAGCTAATCGTGATAGATGCGATTTCCTTTGTCGACGATTAGCTCCACCCTTCGGCACTCGCGCTAGTCGGTTGCCAATGATACCAGAAGACGATTTCCATGTACCAGGTATAAATTTAAGTAAATATCAAATTGTCTACAAAGCTTTTTTTATTGCTATGCGTGCACAGGTCCAGCACACTATGATCTCAGGGGAGATATATCGAAGAACGTGAAAAATGGCGTAATATATTCTGCTCCACGTGAAAAAAAGATGGATATCAAAGGGCCAGGACCATCACGCTATCACGTAAGATTCTTTCAATTTATGAATAATCGATATATTTTATGGAATGTTTATTACTAAAGATTTATTTTATTCACATATATACATATACACATATACTTGCAATACAAGTTTTATAATAAATAAAAATCAAGTATTAAGTTTTTAGAACTTTAAAAAATTAAAAATCACATTTATAATAAATGAAAAAATTATGCAATAGATACATATGTAAAAATGTATGTCAATATATATGATGTTCGCGATTGTATAATTAATTATATATGTATTATTTTAATGAGTTTTATATTAGTTCGATCTTGTACGTTGAGAAATTATTATATTTTAATGACAACCGAACGATCGCTTTCGCGATCGACTACAATTTTTAATCTTCTGACTCGTAAAAGCATTCGATAGTATTTGCTTAGTTATGATATGGCAGGATATTGCATACTCATAGCATATGAGAGTAATACCGGATGCTTTAGATGATGATGTATGAGACACAGTTATGCACTGTGAGATGGCTAGCATCCTGCATTATTCTGTCTGCTATATTTTCGATGTATCATGTGTAAAATATCTTTATAAATCGCAGATATTAGAAAAATGCAGATTTCTTATTTACGAATATTCTAGGATATTAAGCGACGCCAAGTGCATAAAAATATATATAAAACGGATCACTTGACGGGTCGCTTGACCGCTTGATGTGTAAATGTGTATCATGACGCAAGACACGTAAGATGAAAGACTAAAGAAAATGACTAAAATTGCCAATATATTAATATAAAATTGTCAATAAATTATAGTGAAGAAAAAACTTGGCGTGCCCTGGTAGCATTAATTGTACTTCTTAAATATATTATTTCAATATACACAGTATTTACATTATAAATTAAAATATATAATGACATAATTTGTGGGACATAAAAATATACTTACAAATAATAGACGTGATATAAATTATGGAGGAATAATATGTAATAATATTGATAACATTTAGATATAGAAATATTATAGATAATGAATTTACAAGATTAGTAATTAGCAATTATTAATATCTCTTCTTCGTTGAATTAGTGTTTTCATTTATGAATTTTTCTTCACCATAATCCAATTGACAATTTTATATTAATATATTAACAATTTTAGTCATTTTCAGTTTATCTATGTGTCTTGCATAATAAAATACCTGGTTAACATTACATTTATTTCATATCCGTTTTTGACTAAGAAGAATGTATTCAATATCTTTTTTATGCATTTAGCGTATATTTTTTCTTTTTTCAAAAAGGTTTTTTTTTAGAGATTCTAATTATTCATATATTATACTAATTATTCATATATTTAATTGACTTTAATTAGACTAACTTAGATTATAATTTAATCGTATTTAACTGATATATTTAATTGCAAATTAAATAATTAAAATATAAATTAAATAATTAAATTATCAATAAAATTACAATTACATCAATAAAAAAACGATTAAATTATCAACTGAATCAATTTATTTAAAGTTAATTAAATATATGTTAAATAAATAACTAATGTTATGATATTAATTAATTAACAATTTTTATGTAGATACATCCATACATTGCGTCATCCATTTTGAAAAAGTCATTTAATGTCACTCTTGGTCAACCAAAGACCATACAAAGAATCAATGAGGTCCAAACTCCTTGGCAACGTCGAAAATCGAAGAAAATTCTTCGTTGGTTTGCTTTATCCCACGAAAAATATCAACATTGTAACTCTGATATTTATTAATTGATAAATTAGTTTGGTGAAATAAAAAAGTTTAATGTTTTTTTCAAAAATCTTACACACATAATCATACACAATTATTAAGAACATGTTTGTTTATAAAAACATTTTCATGTGCCTTTTAAAAACATTTGTATCTTTAATGTAAATAACAATAAATTATAAAATTCTTACCATAAGTAAATTATTTCCATTTTTATAACTACCTTAAGTTACTCTATAAATCATTTACTTTATCGAATATGCAGAACAAATATAAAAATTTCATAAATATTCAAACAAAACAAAGAACTTGCAATGCAATCAATTTTTTATATCTTTAGGAAAGATGGCCACTAAAATCAATACAGCGAAATGCTCAGTAAAAGACGTTCACTGAACTGTAATAGCCAAGTGTAATGATGCGTAAGGAAAGGCAAATGTTTTCCAAATATAAGATTATGCGGTTGAAATTTCTGCCGTTATAGTCTTATTACCTATAATATTGAAGATAAATTGATATTTAACGTCTTTCAATAGACTTTGATAAGTTTTAATATTCGGTACATTAAATCTTAACGTTCTGCACACAAATAATGTCAAATATAATGTCATATTTTACACTAAAATTAAATATTCACAAATTCTATATAAAAATTTATAATGTACCTGTTAAAATTTAAAATCTAACATACACAAATAGCTAAAATTTAAAATAATGTGACTGTTTATTAAAAAAATACACAGCATCGGAAAATAAATAAGGTTTTAATATGAAGTCATACATTAAACAAAAATATATGTACCATTGAGATAAATAAACCACTGATACTATTTCAAGTTGTAATCTGTAATTTATAGGCAAAAGGGAATTCATTTGGGATTACGCGACATACGTGAATCCGGTTATCATCCAACGCAATGCCATGGCAGCTGACACATATCACAAATACAAGAAGGATACTCAATCGGCAACAAATTTGAAAGCAAGAATAACTATTGGTTCAATAAAAATATAAATACTACGTTATATAAAAAAGAAATATTATTTGTGTGACTAAAACAAAAAATATCTCTTTAATAATTAAATTCTACTAAATACAAAACTTTAATATTTTTAAAAACTTTGATATTTTTGATATTTTTATTCATTACATTTAAAAAAATTTTAAAAATAATTAATTAAAATAAAAAGTGAAAAATATTCGGTACATTTTAAGCAGTACAATGTATTGTGTTGTATATGTAAAGATATAAAAAATTATATCGTTATCTTATAATTAAAAATACAAAATTTTAGACGATCATTTCAAATAAAAAAGAAAAAATATAATTTGTTACTAATATATTTAATGAGAATGAGAAATATAACTTATAATCATATAATATTATTGTGAGACAATATAACTAAAACAATTAATCTATTATTTATCTTATTATTTGAATTTTTGATAATTATGTTAGAATCATTTTAACCTGCTTTTGGAAATTAAACGTACCTTTTCTAGAGAAATAAGTAAAAAATATAGATGATAATGCCGAGTACTTAATTTTAAATCAAAATTCATATAATTACATAAAGTAGTAATTTCACTTATTAAATTTCTTAATTCATGTTTTCTTCTATTTTGATATTCTCTTCAAAAAAACATATTAATATTTAAATCTTAATTTTCAAGTCAAATATTATATAATGGCAACCAACCAATCAATATCTGTTTTAATTATGCAACATATTATGCATTCACATTAAATCAATCAAGCGTTATGAATTATCTCTGTGGTCATAATCTGCTTTTGGCATATATCCAGATTTATAATATATATGTTCGTGAGTTTCAATATCAGAAAGTTGAGAAAGTCTAACATATAGATCTGTATTTATATCTTTTCCATTGATAAATGAACGCATTTAATCAGGTAAAAAAAAACATTTCTCTACAATGTATTTTCTAAAATTCGTCTATCTAATAAGAAAAGATAAGAAAATCTTCAAATTAATTAAATAATAATTATTTATTACCTAATAAAATAACTTAAAAGATAAAAAAATTGAACTCTCGAGATAAAACAATATGTAATTATTTATTATTCAAAATTAATAATTATAGAAAATAGCTATACTAATAAAAGAAGCATCGTTGACATTAAATAGGACAATTTTCTATCATATACAGGGTTGGCCATATTCGACGGAAAGATGTTTTTTTTTCAATCATGAGAAAAAAACACATTTTTTGCTGTTCATTTTAAAAATCATTTAATAGGGTTCAAGGAGATTTGTGTACATCATTTTTTGAATATGATATCTCTTAAATGACCGCCTTGAACCTGCATGGCGAGTAGTGCCCGTTTTGCAGCGTTTTCCATCATTTTGACCAATGTTTCGGCCGATATGGCGGCTATTTCCTGTCGGATGTTGGCCTTAAGTTCGTCTAGGGTCCTTGGGACCCTATTTTATGCCCAACTGCTCAGATCGACGTGTTTGAGATGTTGTTGGAGACCTCTGAACACTGGCCTGTACGAGTGCGATATTATCATCCGATCGCCTTGGTAGCATTTTATTTGGACGCTTGGGATTAGTAAGTGCCTCATCAGTTGAAAATCTTTCATACAAACGATACAATGTGTTCGCGGAAGGCGCACTTTTCACTTTATTTATTTTTCTCCATGCACGTTGAGTTTTAACAATTGACTTGTTTTGTTGAATGTAAATTTCAACAATCTGAGAGCGTTCGCGTGGCGTGTACTGCTCCATGGCAAAAATTTCCTTCGACTGACGCTTCAAACGCGCTACGTCGTTACTCGATCTAACATCTCTGTCAAAAGTTACAGTGTTGCCAGATCTTTCCGTCGAATATGGCCTGTAATGAAGTGCTGCTGAAGTGCCAACCCTGTATATGAAGTGCTAAGCGCCATGCAGATAACTAAAGAGCCATCAATATCACAGGCTATACAATTTGGTCTTTCTAATCGATAATTTTGAATCAAGATCAAATTATTTATAAATCAATATTATTTTATTTTTAAATGTTTTATTATTATTTAATAGTAAGAATTAATTATATAAAATGTCAGTTTCTTATAGTTATAGATGTTATTTTACTGCATCGATTTTGAATATAAAAAAATTAAATTTAACTAAAAATATCTTTTAATATTATATTTAAAGATGTATAAAACACAAATTATTCAGAATATTACCGATATTCTAAATATGTCAAATAGTGCTAAAAAATATTTCTAATGTTTTACTAATATTATGATATTGCAATTTTTTTAGCTTATAATATACATATATACATAGAGACAATATCTATGTCCTATGTACCTATTATTTATAATCATTTAATTTATATATATATATTTTAATATAATTTTTGTACTTTATTATATTATTAAAATATCAAAATTATATCTGATCCTTATATGTATACATCGTCTGAAAACAATCTATAGATACAGAACTCCGTATAGGATTATATGACTCATGCGAATCCGAGACTAATACGGGATAAGAATAACGTGGATTGTAGCGAATGATTTTTATCATAAATACAAAGAGGATCTACATTGGACAAGAAGCATCTAGATCCTCTTTGCGTGTTTTGAATATCTCTTAATACCTTCCAGCTATTGTTTTTTTTCTGTTTCTTTTCGAAGTAAGAAAGAAAGATTCGTTCATGTATGTAACAGAAAAATTTTAATTATTTGAATTAAAATATTTTAATTTATTGATTATAATGATTTTAAAAGCGTATTATGAAAATATTGCTTTATACTAAACAACTTAAATAATTAAGAG